CATCATATACAGGTATAGTTTTTGCATGAATTGGCTGTTTAAATAACAGCAGGATAGCAAAATATGCATTTTCAACAAGACTCTGAATAAAGATGTGATAGAAGTAAAAAAAAGCAAATTATTGCAACACATCAAACTTATCAGTTTCAAAACAAGCTTTTTATATCAAAAGTCGAATGCTAGATAATCTTAAGAATATTTTTTATGTACTTATAAGCTAAAAATAGCTAAAGATACAAGATATAAAGTATAGACTTTGGTCTCTATTTGATTTTCCATTTTTTGTAGTTTGAGAAACTTGATTTTGGCGAAACTAATGTGCTGGACACATTTTATAACGCTGATGTGGCAGTTGTGGATTTAAGTATACAATTGCAACAATCTGCGCTGTTTTATCATCTCGGTGTCAGGGAAAGTTTTGGAATGAAGGAAAACATTTTGCTATATAATGACATAGACACAGAAGCTACAATTAGACTCAAGGTATGTATATACTTTGCATATGTTTTTCATTGCTTTTAGAATATGAATGTGAATAAGTCTCGTAAATTCATTGTAAAACATTACATATAATGATAATAGTAGAAATATTAATAGTAGCAATAGTAGTAGTAGTAGTAGTAGTAGTAGTAGTAGTAGTAGTAGTAGTAGTAGTAATAGTAGCAGCAGCAGCAGTAGCAGCAGCAGCAGCAATAAAACACAAGTGACTTTGATCATTTGTTAGACCTGGGATGCACTTCATAGCTATGATCTCAATTAATGCTCTCATAAATAGATTGCTCGGGGCGCAAGAGACCAACACTATATGCACTGTATGCACAGCATATCAAACAGTTCCAGTCTTGATATTAAGAAGATATTCATCTAGTATAAAAAGAATTATTTATAATATGTAAATGATTTTATTTTAATAACTATTTCCGAAAATTATATCGTATTTAATTTATATAAAAAGATTAAAGAAAGTGTGGAAATATTAAAAAAGGATTAACTTTTATGATGTATTTTTCACTTGCTATTACGCATTTCTCACGAGTAATTTAATCTTGTTGTAGACACTTTAACAGTTGTCTGAATTTTTTATAATCACTTTTTATTAACATAATTATTTTTTGTTTATTGATGTAATTTTCTGCGAGACTTGTTATTTCGAGAATTTTCGAGAAGGAAAGACTTGATATTTTTACTATGGTTGGCAATTAGAACGTGTTGTGCGCGGAACGGTACTCGACGTCAGACTGCCGCGGGTTAAACATGATCCATCAGATGGAAACGATGTCTCTGTCTATTGGGCAAGCACCAAATATGTAATTCCGCTTAATATGGAGTAGAAAAACGTGAGCTCATACTCTCAATATAGCAGTTACTCAATATAATACTGGTACAGCTGATTGTGTGCAACTGTGCACGATCGTTCTCTACGATTTATTATACATACGTTTTATTTCATTGCACCTGGATTGTTAATTTTATTTGAAATTATCATATTGAACAATTTATAACGATTTATAAGAGAACTCGAGAAAGAATTTAAAGTGCATGCATATGTTAGAATTAACGTAAAAATATATGAATAATTATGAAATAACAGATTATGAATAATCAAATATTAAGTTCAATTTGTTAATTTCTATCTATGTTAAGCATAGATTGTTGATAACGTAATATATAAAATATGTTGAGGTAATAGAAATGCAAATAATTTATTTATGTAATTTTTTAAATTTAAGTTTATATAAAATTAATATTTTTTTAGTTACAGCGATATGCATTATTTTTATGAAATTAATTTACACATAAATATGTTTTTTTTTGTACAGTTATCCTGTGGCAGTTACACATTTGTTTCATATCGCGTTGTGGAATCGTGTGGATCATGTGTGGCTACTAATCCAGCAACCAGCAGAATCACAGGCGAAGAAACAATAGATCCCAAACAGCATCTCACTCTGAAACTCAAGAAATTGTTTCAAGATGTGGAAATACAATCTAAGTAAGCATATATGAAAATTTTTTGCAAACAGAAACTTTATATTAGAGAAATATTTAATCATTATCCTTATTATATACAAAGTGCAAAAAACACAGACATTTTTAATATATGTTAATATGAAAAATGCTTTTATTAAAACTTCCAGAGCACATATGAAGGAGAAATTTTTGGCAGATCTACGAAAGGCGCGTGAAACATACTCTGGAGAAGAACTTTCCAGAGCTCTGAATAACATGCGTAAACGTTTAGATGATCCAAATGTTCTATCAGGAGAGGTCGTTTTAAATGTTCTCATTTCATTCCGGGAAATACAGGTAAAATAATGATAGATTAATATTACTTTTCAATGAAAATTGTACTGTTATGTAAAAATATACACATTTACATTTGTTTTATTAGGATTATGATGCAATGGTACAATTGGTTGACGATTTGAGAACTATACCAACTCATAAGAATTATATAAATACTCCAGCTATAAGATATTTATACGCGTTTGCTCTAAATCGACGGAACAAAGAGGGTGATCGAGAAAGAGCATTAAAGGTTATCGAAAAAGCACTGGAAAAAAAGGAAAATCATGTTCCTGATATGTTGTGTTTATGTGGAAGAATATATAAAGACAAATTTGTCGAAAGTAGACACACAGATCAGGAGAGTTTAAAGAATGCGATTCACTGGTACAGAAAAGGTTTTGAGGTACAGTATCTGTATACATCGTTTCTCTTTTATAAGAATTATCTCAATTATTGTATGTATTTTTTATAATGTTTTGTTATTATTATATTTGTAGGTTCAACCTAACGAATATGCTGGTATAAATCTTGCTACTTTATTGGTCATAGCCGGAAATGAGTTTTCTAAAAGTGAGGAGTTACAACATATAGGAATGGTATTAAATAACTTAATTGGCAAGAAAGGCAGTTTACCGAGCTTAAAAGATTATTGGGATATAGCAACATTCTTTGAAATTAGTGTATTAGCGGAAGATTATTCGAAAGCTATACAAGCAGCTGAATGTATGTTTAAATTGAAGCCACCGAATTGGTAAGTATACGAGAAATAAAGTTTAGGTGTTTATTTCGTAACAGACATAATATGTTTAGAATGCAGAGCAAAGTATATATTTTAATTAATTATTTTAATTTTTAGGTACCTGAAATCGACAATTGGCAACATATCACTGATAGATAGGTTCCGTAAAAAAAATGAGGAAGCTGAAATTGCACCGGAGGAACAAATATTTAGTTTCTGGATGGACTACTTTGTTGAAGCTACAAAGCCGGAGGTTGGCGATAGTATACGGTTTCCAGTAAGTTGATAAATGGAATCGTTCTACTGAGGATCCAGTTTCCAATTTGGGAGATTATGGCTTATAGTTATGTGTTACCAATCCAGCTTACTTCTGTACATTTTGGGTCAAAGTAAGAATAATATAAAACTGCTTTTAGTGCAGATTTATGGATTCACTCTTAAAAATCAACTTCCCACTTTAATAATCTTTCCAGTAAAAACGCTCAATACATCACAATATTTTTTTATCAGATTTTAGTGTTGGAACCAACAAAAATTTTAATGCCGAGTTATGTAAATGTGAATCTCGGCGCGGAGGAGAAATCCATACAAATATGGAATTTATGTCTGGATAATATGAGAAACAACTGCAAGCAAGTTCATGATTGGTTGTTTACTGCAAATATGATACGTAGCTTAAGCTTATATAAAAGGGATGAAAGGTGTCTTTTTTTGTACGTTCATCAAAATTCGGATGATTTTCAAATGTATCTACCATCAGTACAATGTAGGCAAAGATTTTACGATTTGATCTTAGAAATGACTAGAGATCAAGAAGGCATGGTTACAGATTTGGATGCTTACATGACCGATGATCGCATGAAGGTTTTTATCAATTTTTAATATCACTTATAGTAGTGTACATGCACGTTTTGTATATAATTTTTAATTGTTTAATGTGTTTTTTCAGTTCGAGTATGAATTGGATGATCAAAACAAGCGCATAATTCTCGGTAAAGGTACATACGGCGTGGTGTACGCAGCGCGTGATTTAAATACGCAAGTCAGGATTGCAGTGAAAGAAATTCGTGAACGAAATTTGGGCGATGTGCAACCTCTTCATGAAGAAATTAAATTACATAGTCAATTGAGGCACAGAAATATTGTTCAATATTTGGGCTCTGTAAGCGAGGATGGATATTTTAAAATCTTTATGGAGCAAGTTCCTGGAGGTAGAGAAGAAGAAAAGCATAACATAAAAAAAATGGCACTTATAAATATTCATAATTGTCACAATTTCAGGAAGTTTATCAGCGTTGCTAAGATCGAAGTGGGGCCCTTTGAAAGAAAACGAATCAACTATCTCATATTATACTAAACAGATGTTGGAGGGCCTTAAATATCTCCATGATCAAAAAATAGTTCATAGAGATATAAAAGGTATATAATTCGTAGAGTAAATAAATTTTACTTATTTGTTCAAGAAAATAATATTTTTATCTTTTTTATAATTATTTTCACACAAGTAAATTTAAATATATGATTTAGGTGATAATGTGTTAGTAAATACATACAGTGGAGTAGTGAAGATTTCTGATTTCGGTATGTCTAAACGTTTGGCTGGCTTATGCCCGAGTACAGAAACGTTTACTGGAACATTACAATACATGGCACCAGAAGTTATTGACAAAGGTCAACGTGGTTATGGTGCGCCTGTAAGTTTAATTAAATGTTTTGTTTTGAGAATGTTCGTAGGATAAAGACATGTTTGTATCATATACACATATATCGCAATAACAATTATTCACATTTTTCTTTAGGCCGATATTTGGTCTTTAGGTTGCACGATAGTTGAGATGGCCACCGGAAAGCCTCCGTTCATTGAGCTAGGTTCTCCACAGGCAGCTGTTTTTAAAGTAAATTGAGAATATTAAATTATTAACATTTTTAAACATTGAGAATTACTAACTTATTTAAAGTCTGATGTATATATGTTTGTTTGCACACAGGTGGGATATTACAAAATACATCCTGAAATTCCGTCAGAGTTATCTGAAAGAGCAAAAAGTTTTATATTACGTTGTTTTGAACCGAATCCTGATATAAGAGCAACCGCGGCAGAGTTGTTGGAGGATCCATTTCTTAATGAGTATATAAATAAGCATAGTACTGTAGAGTTTTATAATTTTTTTACAATCGTATAGTAAAATGCTTATTTATTATAGGAAAAAGAAGAGTAACAGATTAGTCGCACCACCAGATTTTAGTAGAAGCATATCAGTTCCCGCAGACAGAGTGGAACGTTTGGGGAAATGCGATAAAACAAATAATAATCACATTGTCTCTGCCACACCTATGCAGATGTCTCAATCCGATGATAGGTATTATAAAATGTTTTACCTTTGTTATAATGTACTATATGTAAATATTTTTGTAATCTGTGGCATCTCGCCTTTGTTTTACTATGTTGTAGTTTTATTTTATTTATTTTATTTGTATCAAGTAATTTTTGTTGCTAATCTCATTTTTTATATCGCTTAATCATTGTTAGACATTGAAACGTTAGGAAATGCCATTTACGAAATTTGACTATTTTTGTATAGTATTACCAAGGAATAACACATTTAAATTGTGTATTGTTATGCTATATATTGTAACGTGAAAATTATGTGTATTTTTACTTTATTTCCAAATTTTCAATATCCACATCATATCCTTTAATAAATATGTTAAAAGTACTTTATCGAAATTGCATTCTACATATAAAGAATATGATACAAGAGTATAATATTTCTTTATGTGAATGCACGTGGCAAATTGTAATTATAAAATGTTAAATTTAGTGGAGGGTTAACGAAGTCTAGCCCATTGAGGGAACGCAGTCCAGCTCACCTATTGTCCCCCATCAGCATGCCTACTGCAACCCTCTCTTTTAACAGGTATGGTTCTAACTTCGTAAATTGTTTATGCAAGTAAAGTATATAACTAAAGGAATATTTTGTTTTGTTATTTACTTATTCGTAAACATTAATTATATAGATTTTTTTATATGATCATTTATCATGAATATTAAATGCAAAATGTTTAATCAGTGTCTTCAAACTGCTTATGTCTTGTATAATAAACATCCGTAGTTATGAAGTCATCACTTTTTGCACATCATATTAAATGTTTATGCATTCATATAATAATAGTATATAATTTCTCGATATATAACCCAGCTTTGTGTAAGTTACATTAATTTCAAATTTCCTTTTTGTTTTATGTAAGCAATAATATTACATATTAGATATAACATTATTATTAGATACTTTAAAATATTATTCGAAATAAAATAATATAATAACATTTTTCGTTTTGGGGGTCTGGATTTATCTTCTTAAATATTGACATAAACACATATATACATATAATAGCTTTGCTAAGTGATTACTATAGTTTATGTGAACACAATTTAGTAGAACATAATTTAAATAAAGCAGCTTTTTAACATACTATGACTTATCCTATAATCGTAGCTTTTTCTACCTTTAAAATAATAATAAATATATATCCTCAAAATAGGTGGATCGTTCGAATTGTTTATATAAATTTTATTGTATATATCATATTAAATATATAGAGATTGTGTATCTCTTTCTCTCTTTTGATATTTGTAATAATATTTCTGTATTATTTTCCTTTATTATATGATACAAGACTAATCGAATTTTTTATTTTGCATAAATTATTAGATAATTAAATAATATCAGAATATTAAAATATTTAAAATACAAAATTATCATTTTTATAGTTATATGCAAGATGCGTTAATAATCCTTTGACACACAGTATTGATAAAATTATATCATTTTATAGACAGTTTAAATGTTAATATAGATAGATATAGTTTATAATATAAAAAAATTAATATTATTTATTTATATCTTTCTAATACAATAGGGAATACTCCATCGATAGAAACTAGTGAAACTGATACAGCTGGTATCTCAATAACTAGAAGAAGTTCGTCTGGTGGCTTGTTATCACCAGAAGTTGAATTAGGAGGTAAATTTAATCTATCACTTCGTAGGATTGATACTTCATAGAATTAGTATCAGAAATTACTTTTGAAAAGATATCAAAAAAAATTTATTCAGATTACAATATAAATAAATATTGTAATGGTGGACAGATGGATAGATGAAAAATTGCGAATTGTCCATCTGTTCAGGATTTATTATGATATGATATTCATTTATATTTATGGGTAATTGGGGCAAAACAGGGCAACCAGGACAAAAATCTGGAGAAGAACAAGAGGGTTTTTATCTGTTAAAGAAAGATAGTCAAAGACGTATGACATTAACAAGAGTTCTCAACCAGGATGAGGCAAAAATTTGCGAGGTTTGGATGAGAGGTATACATCAAGCGGAAGGACAAACTATGTTGCAAATGGTATTTATATACTGAAGTATCATGTTATGTTGCAAATAACTGCCGGTGTATACTTAATTATTTATCATTATTTTAGAGTCACTTAGTGTTGCTCATGCGTGGCTTGAGGGATTATATAGCAGAGCAAAATCAGGAAGTAATAGTAACCGCTATTCGAACGTTGAAAGAGGAATTGGATTTCGACTCGACCGCTATTAATCATCTACATTTGGCTATTTATTTATTTCAAACAGCAGTAAATGAAGTTCTCAGAATGCACAGTATAAAGCCACATTGGATGTTTGCTTTAGACAATTTAGTAAGAAATGCTGTTCAAGCTGCTATCACAGTTTTATCTCCCGGTAAGTATTATTTTCCTTAATGGAAATGAGAATAAATTGTCATATATTTGACAGACATCATTGAGAACACTCACTCCTGTGAGTAAAAGAAAAAGTGTTTCATTCAACTGGCCAGATTTTCACACGTTACTTAGAATATGAACCAGATGTGTAACGTACGCATGTATCTTAAGTGTAATACACGTGAAGAGATTGAGTATGTTATCATGTCAACTCTAAAAATATCTCGAGGGAAAGTCATCACTAATAATATGGGATCTTTTATGAACGTCGCGTTCAGTAAGAGGATTACCGCATTCTACTCGAGTTCATACATATCTGGTTTAAACAGTTTTTATTGAAGATCAAAAAATTAGATATATAAATGTGATAAAAAAGTAGTATATAAGTCATTACATGGAATATGTTTTGTTTGGAATATGTTACAATTTGTATACTTAGAATTGGGCGCCAACTTACTTGGACAAGAACGAGTACAACCTGGTGGTCAAGGTCCTGAGGAAGGATCAACGTCTGGGGTATCAACGATAAATTCTGTGAAATCTCAAAAAACCGTTGACTCTGTTGATAATAAGTATTGGAAAGAATATAGAGATCAAATGGGAGCACTAAAAATGGAAAATATGAAGCTACTTCAGGAATTGATAGAAAGTCAGAAATCATATCAAACGTTATTGCAACAAGCTCTCGAAGAACAGAGAGCCCAAGTTAATACACTGACACATCTGTGTGAAAATATTAATAGAAGATCAATAAGACAGGAATCAGGGTACGAAAAATTATCATTTTATTTTTATATTGCTGCATAACCATTATTTATTTATTAATCCAAAATTATTATTTTAGTTATTGTTGGAAAATTATTATTTTATTGTTGTAAAATTATTACTTTATTTATTGCTGCTTTTCACGTGTTGCAATGTATAAAAAATTTCATTAACATTGGGTGCATTCAGTACTATGACTGCTCATTGAGCACTCAGTGAGCTCTTGTATCCTTTTGGCCTATATTTTTAGATCTAACAGAATATGCCAATTAGATGCAAAAGCTCACTAAGTGATTGTAATACTGAATGCATCTATTATATAAAAGTATTTTTTAAATAATTATAGTTACAATTCTTGCATTTTTGGAAATATATCTCAACAATCCTTAATATCTACTATCGATACGCACAGTACGGTTTCACATCCGGATACAGCCCTTGTCGATTGGTTACAGAATATTCAAATAGATGAAACATCAATCGATAGGGTAAATATTCCACGGATATCTGAAATGAGAATGAGAATAAAAATAACATGTTATTTATTTTAATTAATATAATATTTATGAATGATTTTTTAATATTCTTAGATTATATATGAGGAATATACACTGGGAGATATTTTGTGTCATGTTACACGGGAAGATCTCCGTAGACTAAACTTAAGGTAAAAATGCTTTTCTTTATTTAATAATAGCATATGTGTGTAGAGATAAAATTATCTCTATACATCTTATACATCTTATATACAATTTTAGGGGAGGAATTGAACTCAGGATATGGCAAGCCATATTGAGACATCGGGAGAATAATGGAAATTAAATTATAAAAATTACAATATAATTATATATTTTACTATTTGTAGTGATAAAGTGTCACTAATACCTAGAATTTAAAGCAGAGTAAAATACCTGTTTAGGCTGCCATGAGATAAAAGTATAATGATTTAAATCTAAATTTCAGTCGTGCATATATGCTATATTATGTTAGACATCAATTCCCACACACACACACACACACATAAAGAGAGAGAAAGTTTTTTCTGTGAGACAATGTTATAATGATATTACTGGTTTATTTCATATAGTTCCTAATATAAATTACTATTACTCTTTACAGAGTAATTGTATAACAAATCACATCCATGTATAATGATTTATGTTAACAAGACGTATTTTGTCTTAGTGTTTTTATCACAGATTTTAATTACTTTGCCAAAGTTGATATTATAATGCGAGAAACCAGTATTTGTGTCATGGAATGTATTCTTATACATTACATTTGCTTATTATAGAGAATTCTGTAGCTTTGATTTTTAAATTCGGCATTTGAAAATCAGGTCAAATTTAAAGGAATTGTTTTTACATTAAAGTAGTTATATCTAAAAAGATAAAATAGTAACGAAAAATGACAAAGAGATTATGAATATGAATTATCAGTAATATACTTGATATTATATTTTATTCTAAAGTTTATGATGTCTTCTATTATAATAGAAATAATAGATGCTTCCAATAATGCTTATAATAAAACTGATACAATTAATCCTATTTTTATAAGATATAGATAGATATATTCATTGTTGAATAAATAAATCTAGAAGATCTCTGTCACTAGAAAATCTTGATTGGAAATGGTTTGTATTTTTAAAAAGTAATAATTTTATATAATAATTGTTTATTATTATAAATGTAATAGGCAGTACATAGTTCATCTAACGAATCCTCCCAATGTCTTCACGAATAGGGACACAATTATTTATGATGCCTTATATAGTGCCTAAAAATCGTTCTAGTACAAGAAAAGATATTTATTATATAGAATAAATATGTACATGTAGTCATATCATTCACATGGAATAATATGAAATTCGCTGTTGAAATCTTCTCAAAGAGGAAAATTTTATTTGTACGAAATATAAATCTTCTCAATATCAAAATATCAATTGAATGTTTTTGTGTCGGTATTCGTTATGTAAATAGGTTTTCCATAATTTTTATAAGAGTTTTACGTTGATTCGTGAATTCAATTAGTTTCAGGCTTTGTTCAAGTTTTGTAGATATGGATTTTTATATGACGGAAAAATTTCAATTTTTCTTTTCCATGCAATATTGTAAAAAGAGAAAATCGCTTGTGCTCTGTGCGATGCACAATATATTTTGTACAGTTAGATTTTTTAATATATAATAGTCGAGTTACACAGGTATCTAATTTTAATAAAATTCTCGAGAGAGATCGCTTTCTCGAAAACCCGGTGCCTAATTGTTTGAAAGCTATACTGTACAAGCTGGATTCAGCTTAATTATACACATACTGATGTTGCAATACATGATCTAATGATTGACAAAATTAATATTATAATGCGTTATTTTTGTGTAATATACTAATATATTAAAAATTGTAGAGCGATATTTTCTAATTTTAACAAACTCGTGTTGGTGCTTGTTTTCAAATGTTCTGACTAAAATAAATTTTTCGCTCAATTATGTGAGCATTATTAAAATAAATGTCGCAATCAAGAGAAATAAACTTTGAAACAAGCATCACAATATATTGTTAATTATATATATTGTCGTTTTCACTCACAGAATAAAATTAATTATAATTATTGCTCGCATGTGCGATCATTTGTAATAAAGGATTAAACATATATATTTAGATTATTTTATTATAGCCACCTTTAAATAAATTTTCTTACAATTTCTTTGAATTATGAAACATATTCGGCTTAGAAAATATTTATTTTCGGCAATGAAAAAAGCGACGCTGGGACTTAAGTTATGAAGCATAATAAAATATACCGTTAGATTTTCAAATCCTTTCCTTTCCAGCTGTAAAGGGTCGGAATACCTTTGATATCAGATTATAAGTAAGTCAAATAAATTCACAGCTCTCGTCAGAGGGGTTCGCTTTTTACTCAGCTTGTCAGCCAAGGTTTCTTTGTTATGTCGATCGATATCTCAAGAAGTCAATTTTCATAGAGATAGCGCTTATCGCGCGCGCGTCACCTTTAACCTTTCACATTAAACTGAAAAAAATAATACTTACTATTTTATCATTATTTTTAAATTGAATTATTTTTTATTTTGGCATTCGTAAGTTGGGAGATTAATGTTGAAAAGATTTTGAAGTCAAAAATACTTTTTATAAATTACTTTTTTATACGCAGAGATTAATATATCTTGTGTAATAAAATAGATAGAAAAAGATATTTTTCGTAATAAATTTCTTAAAAATAAATGTTTACAAGATGTTAGATAGTCAATAATTTTAAATCATCAATTTGATAATATAAAATTATATTTGTAATCTTTACATAAAATTACATTTCAAAATTAAAATTTGCGCATGATTGAAAAACACGGAGGTGAAACGTACAAATTAAATAAATGTATAATTACGTAACTCACACATACACACAAATTATTATTAGGCATAAGATTTTGCTACATTATTGAAAATCAACATTTATTTATTTTATGTGTTATATATATTTATTTACTGTATGTGTTATACATATTTATTCAAGTGTAAAACAAGTGTAGTTCATTTTTAAGACACCATCTACATTTATGTAAAAAAGATAGTTTATGTTACTTCATATCGAAATATATTCTTCCATAATTAATTTTGATGTTTATCTAATTTCCGTTTAAATTTTTTACTTTATCACTTAATTATCTTGGAAAGAAGATAAATTCATATAATTACGGAGTTTAAGTGTAGAAATAAAATGATATATAATACATATGAAATATAAAAATGAAACAATAGGATCTTATCAACGCCATTTTACAGCAAGCGAATTAATGATCATTTGTCTACAAAAGAATATAGAACGGCGCGTTTTATTCCAAGAAGAAGGAAGCGACGAGCAGCTGTAATCGATATTGCGAAAGTTTTCAATCTACCAGCATCCAACGAGCGTTAAAACGCTGGTCAAAGCCCCGGTCGTGCGAGACAAAAAAATCTCTATCGACATTTATGCGGAGGTGTACGCACACAAAGACGTCTCCACGTAAAAAATACCATTGCCTTGCCTTTGTTGTGTTTGCACTTCACGTGCGTGCAATCTACGCACGGTCATGGCCACGTATGAAATATTCAAAGTGGCTCTAATGTTAACTGGTGACCACTCTTTGGTCTGCCACCTTTGTGTCGCTCACGAGGGGTGCATCTGCATGCAGATCGATCCTGCATCTAGGGAAACCGGCTTATCCACTCTCTGGTATAGAGAAAGAGAGATAATACCGTACGCACGCCCCCGTTCGTTTGATATTCTAAAAAGCGAGCGTCTCTTCTCCTTGTCATGCAATATTCAAAATTTCGCAAGAGCGATGACGAACGAAGAACGAAGATAGATTTTCACGATAGACGCTCAATCATTTGAAAAAGCGATTTTTCGCGACTAAAATTATACATGTATTACAATTATAATATATGGATTACGATATTATATGAATTATAGTTATGTGAATCTTTGCGGTTTATTTTTAATTATTGAATTCTCTTTAATTTCAAGGATACATTTCTCCATTTAACCGTCTCTTATATGTTTTTTTAATGATCTCACATTCCGATTGTATCGAGTCACTTTTTAATAAATACATACAAGATGTGTTTATGATGAATCGCGTTTCAAAATATCCGAGCGATTCGATTCAAAATTATGTTTTCTGGATATACAATATTAGCACCTTAAACCGTTGACGTAATTTTATGCGAGCTAACGGAACATGGATGATATTATCGTCGCTCCGTATTTTGTCGGCACACTAAAGATCGATCCTCGATTTTCTATGCGAGTATACAAACATATCTCATAAATTACGACTGCGTAATGAAATCGATTCTTTCGTTTGACTTCTTATGCTCATCCGGCATAATTCGGCCGGAGGCGAGTCATCGACGAGATAATTAAATGACCCTGCGAAAGAGGATCTGGCGAAATGCGATTATGTAAATGTTATCGAAGCAACCTCTCAACGTTTGCTCACAATCGGTTCTGATAATATGCATTCTTTTTTTCTTGTTTAGAATTAATGAAGTTGTTTCGTCACCTTCGCTATCGATTCTCTAATATCTATTGGATAAAATCGTCCTATTAACTGGACGCATTATAATAATGTTACACAGCAGGGGAGATCAGAATGTAAAAAGAACTGTTATTTTTCTTTTATCGGCCCGCTGTGTGTGAGTGACGCGTGTTTTATCGCTGAATATTTTCTCGCGTTATCTATCGAGCTCCAGCAGCCGGCGGCTGTTATTACAGCAGCTTCTAACGTTGCCCCATCATTAGGAATTCCATAACAGGCGGGTGCGGTGAAAGGGCATTATGGAAGAACGTATTGATCGGTCCTATCGATATATTATCATTGAACTAAAGGCAAACTCAGAAGAATTAGATTTATTAAGGGTCAAATTGTAATTAAAACAAAAATCCACATAAATACATGGAGTTTTTTTAAAAATTTGGTAGTTGAAAATATGGTACAATACTCTACAACACAATATTTTAAAGACTTTTACCATGCATTTCGGTAAAATTGATCAAACTTATTTTATACCTTATTGCAGTTTTATTAATGAATGAGAGAGATTTACGTTAAAATTCTTCGAAATATAATGTTGTCCCATGATTGTCACATTTTCAGAGTAAATTCTAAGAAAAAAATTCTCCCCGTGTATTTTTTTTACGCAACAACATTGGCGTTGCGTACATTGATTTTGCGATATTTATTTCGCTAGGGAGAAGATATATTTGTTTTCTTCAAGAGAACATCGTGTCTCGTTATATCTTCTTTTCTCTAAAATTATTAAATCTCCTGTGCTGTGTGGAGCTTAATTGGAACGCTTAAGGGAAAGTTTTTCGTTGTAACGAGATAATCGGATGGTCGAGTATCCATGGGGATGGCGAACACACCCTTTTCCAGGCGGGAGGCGGGGGGTGACGCAAAATGTACAATGTTTCACGGTTAAATGGTTCGATTGTGCTTTCGAGAAAGGGGCGCAATGTTCGCCTCGGTGAATTATTAAATCCACCCCACTGATTTATATTTTCTTACGTTCCGCCTTCCCGTACGATCTTACGAGGCGGAGATCTGCGGGAGAGATCTGATTGCGAGACACCCTTTGATTTGATTACTTGCTCCGCGGAGTATGACTGAAATCTTGCGCTCTCTTTCTCGATGCGGATTTATGTGTAGCTTTGCCTGCAAAATTGAATATAAAGCCGCCGCGATGGCATCATGATTCCCGACTGTGCACTTTTAAAAGCATACAGATGCAGATAGTCATAAGATTACCATTTTATACATCACGTCGAACTTAATATTATATTTTGTAATGTATACATATATCGTTGCGAAATAATGTTTGCACAATGAAATGATTGAATGAATAAAATGGTAAAATGAATGTGATAAAAGGAAAGAAGGGTATTTATGTTTACGTTGTTGTTAAAGCGACCTAAATCCCGATCTTTACCCGATCGAAAGCAACTCAAGTATTCTTGACGAAGTAAGAAAGGGTTGCTTTCCGATGGAGCTGGAGAAACCCAGCGTTTCATCATTTTCTCTCTTTCTCTTCCCTTTTTCCTGTGTCTTCCTCTCTTTTTCTTTTTTTTCTCTCTGTTTTATGTTCTCAGTATCTGTCCTTTCATCTCGTCTGGTCCTCCTCCTTCGCCCTGTATTGTCTCTTTACCTTTTAATTAACTAACTGTGGCTATATAGTAGGCTAAAGAGGGTGTCTAACTCTGGAGATTTTCACAAGCGATCGAATAATCTATCTTCCCGTGGTAGGTTGAATAAGATTATCGAGTCAGTTCCGGCGATGAGATTGCTAAAAGATCTCGTCTGCTAAATCCTTTGAGTTCGATGGGCTATTTAATGCAATTAGTCGATTTTATGAACAGATCTTGAAGGTAAAGTACTTCTCAGATTATTAGACTTTTACGCACTAATATTTAATTAATACTTGATATTATAAATACTTATAATATACATTATAAAAATAATAAATTGCAATAAATTATTGTAAATATTGCAAAAAAAATAATTATCATATCTATAATGTCTAGAAAAAATAATGTATATAAAAATCGATTTAAAATTTAGGAAACATGTTTATTATTCTCCGTAATATTGCAGCTATTTTTGTTTCGTATTTTAAAGCTTGAAGGACGGAAAAGTTACGACTGCTTGTGCCGCTGTCTTAGATAAACTCCAAACTTTAAATCCCGTTTCCACGAAATATTTTTCTACGGAAGTGCGGCTGAGATAAATCACCAAGATTCGGAGACTCGGAAAAGATTACAATTTGGACAGAATGATGAAAACTCCATTTTCTACTGTTCCTAAATCGTAGATATTAATGAGAAAAATATAATAAAGTAAGATTATTTTCTTTTCACGTAAAAACGTGATTATATAAATATAATATAATTCCTATTTTTTGTTGTCGCAATTTTCTAAAATTTCTGTTGCAATTATTACGTCTTTAAAAATGTATTTGTAATAAACCCAGATTACATTTAAGATTGCTTAAAAATGTAAATTATTCTTTTCAGAATTTACGCCAGGAGCTTTTAACGTGACGAGACGGCGAGTCAAAAACTTATAAACGTCCCCAAAGGATTAATGCCGAGAACAATGAAGACTGACTCTCTGTCTCCCCGCTTTCATAAAATGACACCTCGTCCTTCCGAACTAATTACTTTCGGCTTAAAATCCTTAATTTGTTGCTGAAAGGCCGTTGTCAGGAAAGACCGTCCCTCCACGATGAAGTCTTTCTTTGTCCAGTGAGCGCAGTAAATGTTGCTCAAGACGATAATTGGTTCCCGGATCCATTAGGAACCGTAAGCAAAAAAAGCATAGGTATAAAAGAACTAGAGGTTTAAAAAATCTCGATAGTAAATAATATTTTACTCTGTATGGAAAGAACGGTTTTGTTGAAGTATTTAAAAATTTAACCAG